CTTTTCGGCAACAATCTATATAGGCAGATGGACGGCGTAGCTTCTGGCGAATATATCCATTGGAAAGTTAGAAGCTTTCCATCTACTTCCCCAGATCAACGGTTTAAGATACTACGGACGGTACGTGGATGATATATTTGCAAATGCACCAAAACAAAATGACATCTCACTCCTGCATAATGATGTAAATCAGGTCCACCCATCAATAAACTTCACCCTGGAGGAAGAACGGTCCGGTTATCTTCCCTTTCTGGATGTGCTTCTGAGTAGAAGGCCTGACGGCAGCATTCGACGTAGCATCTATCGTAAGAAAACGTGGTGCGGGCAGTAAACCCGTTTTGGGAGTTTCGTACCACTGAGCGAGAGACGTAATTTAGTCCGCTGTTTGGCAGAAAGAGTGAGAAGAATCTGTTCAGATGATAGCGTTGAGAAAGAGCTTAAGATCACTGAAAGCCTTTTTCGACAGAACGGGTATCCTGATCAATTCATTGCTAAGAACATGGCCGAAAGACCACAAAAACCTCCGATACTGACAGCAGGAAAGAAAAGGTTCTTCATCAGGGTCCCATTTCAAGGGATCCACCAAGTAAACTTTTGAGAAGACTCCTAACCTAAGTTGTATCACAGACGTTTCCAGCAGCTGACACCCGTGTACTGTTCTCCACAGTCCCATCCTCTACGGAGAGGACAAGGACAAACTACCAGCTCAGACCTCCTCAGTGTATTTACTCCTTCACCTGCTCCTGTGGGGCAGAATATATTGGTCGCACGAGCCGGCGTTTATCCAAAAGAATAAAAGAACATTTCCCAGCATGGTTAGGAAAGGGTCAAATAAAGAACATCAATAGGTCGATCCTCGCGCACATAGTAGACACCGACCACCGTGTAGACGCCAGAGAGGCCTTCGGAGTGATTTACAAGGTCCCATCAAGCTATCCAAAAGTGCTCGAGGTACAACATAATCATCTACTTGCCCGTATCTATTAATTCATTACCTCAATAGCCATATAAATGTACAGGCCTGAAGAGGATTTATCGAAAGCAGACGTATGCGCGTAAAATTGCCTTCTGAAAGCAAATGGTGTCTGGAAGGTCCGCTCACAAAGTGGGCAGGTCGGAGGCGACTGAATGTTGGCGTTGCGAGGCGGGGTAGTCGAGATTTACGAGCTTCACCATTGGCTTCGGCAGCGACGATGCGGGTGCCATTGTGCAGCTCTGCGCCGGCCTTCTCTGCTCTCCGCCAAGTCGGTCGGTCCCAGGTGAGGTCTTCTTAGGTTGCCGTATCGATTTGCAGGCTCCTCAGGGAAGTCTTAAGTGTATCCTTGTCGTCGTCCTTCGCGATTCACCGTTTCGAAGGCCTTCGTGAGATCCACGAGGGCAGAGTAGATTTCGATCCGCATCAACTGACGGGCTGCGAAGATCCTGTCCGTGGTTCCGCGGTGACTGCAGATCCTGCAATGGTTTTCTGGCAGGAGACATTTTTCTAAATGGTTGTTCAGACGGCTGAGAAGGATACGAGCGAAGATCTTCCTGGCGATGTTCAGCAGGAAATTCGCCGTTTGTTATCGCGGGGCTGGCAATTACCGTTCCGCCCGTAAAAGGTGGACAATTGTGGCGTTCTTGAAACCCTGAGGGGGCTGTCCTTGACACCAAAAATACTGGAAGAGCGCTGTCAGGTGTTCCATAAGCTGGGGGCCATCGTACTTGTAGATGTTGGCACGGATCGCATCGGATCCGAGCGCCTTCACAATGGAGAGCTGCTGCATGGCCTCGGTGATTTCGTGTAAAATGAGCGCGTGGTCTAGGTCGGCATTGGTTTCCACTTTAGTCAGACGGGCGATTACGGCGCCGGAGGTGGTGGAGGGACGGTTGAGGACGCCTCTGGAGTGTTCGGCCCAACGATGTAGAATTCGCGTCTTCTCAGTGCGCAGAATGGTTCCGTCGGCGCTGAGAAGAGGAGCGGTGTCTTTGGCCATGGGATCGTAGACAGCTTTGATCGCGGCGAAGAAATTCTTCCATCCGTTTGGGTCCGCGTATCCATGGGTCTCCTTGGCCTTTTGAACCGTCCAAGCCTCCTGCATCTCCCGCAGCCGCTGTTGCATAAGGCCGCGACTAAGATAGATGCCTGTTTTTTGTCATCAGTGGGACCGTTGACGCAGGCTACCTGCTGTCTGTTCTTCTCGGAAAACAATTTTCTGATGACAGCGTCATTTTCGTCTAACCAGTACTGAGGTTGTCGACGTACAGGACCGAGGACATAAAGGACCGTCGGCTGGATCAGGTTCCACGGTTGACACCATCGATGGTTTACAGAGGTTTCCTCATCGCGTATGGTCTCGTGCTGGGTTGTTTTGACCGTATGTTCTGAGTCTGTAGGCCACGGTCAGCGTGCACAAGACATGAACCCTGCATTTGTTACATATAATACATAGCAATACAGCCTCTAATGTTACAAGCATCTTTGGATGGGCGTGCACAACAAAAAGTATTCTACGATTCCTCCTATCCCACTGCAAGTTATCCTCCTATTATTATGGCTGAGTTGATAAATTGTACATTTGCAAGACTATGTCTAGGTTGAAAAGTGACTTACGCATAAATGGCCAGCAGGAAATATGCAAAATAAATTAGAGAACCAATACGATAGTAGAATCCTCGTTGATCTTGGTAGAGATGCTGTCACCTTTTTGAGCGCAGTAATGTATGGAGTATTCTTCCTATGCAAGTATATATAGCCGTTAATATTGAGATTCGCGAAATCAGTTAATTGGCAAAATATATACGCCAAACCAGTCCTGCGGAATTGCAGGCCATAGTCCCAATTTATTTGCGCCTCGAAGATTTTTGCGAAAACGTTTCATCATATTTAAGGACACATTGGTCGGAATTGAGTTTGTAAATCAAGGACCCGTCACCTTTGACTGCTTTAAGCATCGAACGCCAGCCCTTATTTTACTGGGCTGTGGTTTAGGAGGGCCAACAGAATAAGTCTGCAGCTTCTCCATAAACGATGTCCAGTCAGCTGGATGATGTATGCGTTCCTGTTTCTTAATTTTTGTTTCATTCTAAGATTCGCCGTAAACGGCTCCAGAGACTTGCAGCAGACGGAGGTGGGACTAATGGAGAAAATGTGTCAGGAGCTAAGTCGGTTGCCGTATGCGCTTACCTATTGTTTTTGTCAACTCGCAATTTGCAATACAGGTTGTAGGCGCAGGTGAATATGGCGTTCCATCGGTTCCCGAACTCGCAAAAGAGTACCTTGGTTCACCGGTATCTTTGTTTCACACATGAATATGTCTCTTTAGATTGCTGACACCACAGCCTTAAATTCCGCAGAGGTCATGGATAGTGAGGGTCCTGAGAATTCAGAAAGTCGCCATAATTCTGCTCAACCTACCGGTTTTCTTGGTGACGTGCTGAAGATCCTTTCTGTGACTTTGTCGGATCATGGCTCTAATTCTCCTCAGAATCCCCTTTGCTTGGCACCGAGCGATCTCACCGATTTCATGGATCACGCTGTTTTTAGTGACCCTGCAAATGCTCTGTTACGTCTTCACCACTCCTTTTCCGCCTTGTTAATTAAACTCCTGCATAATATCAGATCCAGCACCAAATTCATTCAACAGTTTGGGACTGAATTTTCCTCTCCAGACTTTGCTATGACGTATTACCTCCTATCTTGCCTAAATGGTGCGCGGACTGGATGCCTCAATTCAGCCAAGGCCAAGGTTAGTAAACATGTCTTTCCACCCTTACCGGTTCATAAATTTTCCTATATTTTATCCAGGGTTTCCTTAAGACTATTCTCCGCTTCACATAATTTTTTTGATGTCAGTTCTCCGATGATAGGTGCCCCCTTAGTTTATATTCATATGGCTCCGTGCATCTTTCCGAAACTCGTTTTTTGTTTGTGTTTTGTAACTTACAGGCAAAACAACTCTCGGTGTTCCTAGGACATTTTTCAATGGCCTTACAATACTCTTTGAGTGTTAGAAAATTACAATTCCATTGGATGAGAATCCACACATTCGGCAGTCGCTGCATTGATGTTACTCCTAGAATGTTCCTCAAATTCCTGTTCAGTCTCATTCGTTGTTAGGCCTTGGTCTGCGTGAATTCTAACTTACAGCAATCGCTGTGTTTGTTGCTTTCGTCATCCTTCAGTAGGACTAGGATCAGTGTTCAGTGCCTTAAATACGTCAGACTTATGCTTATGCATACCATAACTTAAGTTCAGGTTGTACTAGGCTTTGCGGCGCCATTTTCTGTGTAAAATCCAGCCGTTCTTTTGTTATTACTTTGACACAGTGCTGCTCAACTTTTTAAAATACGTAGGGGCTGGGCCCGCTGTACCAAGATAAGGTTGTATTCAGTCGATGCTTCATCTCTATCTGGCTTGCTTCGTTCTTTATGTCTGTCACTAATTTTTGAATAACTATAAACGAGACCCAATCTATACCCGAACAGTCTCTGGCCTGCCTACTTGAGTAGTCTTTTCTAACTTACTGCTAAATGCCAGTTGTTTTTCATGTGCTCTAACAAATGGAGATATCGGAAGAAATCTTCCTGACTGAATTCAATCGCTTGTGGAAGCCCTCAATACTTAAAATTGGTAGTCAGTGTGAACTACCACCTATCCGTCTTTATTTCCCCCACTTTTTGCCAACGAAAGAATAACTGTCCCAAGATATTCAAATACTTGGTCCTTGTCAGGTGTAGTAAAGCCTATTTTTACTTCTATGCTGCGTCGCCCTCTCATTTTCTCTAGCGGTGATCAAATGTCCACCGTTGATCGCGTTTGGTTAGACAGGAAGGTAGATCGTCAGTGAATTCCTTGCTTATAATGACACTAGATTTCTAGCCATCCAGATACAGAGGACGGGTGAGACGTCGCAATTCTGGCTATCTTTTATGTACCGTGGCCAACTCTTCCGTCATTGAGATCAGATGCTGTAGCAGTACTGCAACGATTCACTATCTATCAACGTCATAGCTGGAAGGCGGTCGCCGACGTCTGTCGGGTTTGGCTTACCTGATGAAAGGGCTTATTGGTTACCGATTTTCACGAATTCAGAAGATTAGAGTCTTGCTAATTCTTTCTGTTTTCCTTCACCTGATTCATTAGCTTTTGTCTGTGCACTGGTAGTTTAAACTGGCAACACCAAATGTGTTGCTCCCAGATGTCTCAGGAGTAAGGAACACCGATAAATAAAGCTAGTGATAAGAGATGTGTTGCACCTAGATGCCGCAATGAAGAAGAATTACTCACGGTACTGCAGGGAGAAGTCGTTTTTGTCTTCCGAACTGGACTAATTGTTCCATTTTTGACCATTTTCCTTGTAAGTGTATTCCGACACTTGACTTAAAAACAACCTACTGCACAGTTTGTTCACTAATTCTAGATTCTGGGTTTTTTAACTTTCAGGACGGTGACTGTTCAGATGTCTCTTCTGAGCTTTACAAATGCATCTCCAACATTCTCGTTAGTCATCTTTCGCTGGTTTGCCAGGGAGTTTTTTCCCTTCCTTCCTTTTATCAAAATGGAAACGACACTCCTAACCAAGCTCAATCCATGGAAAGTCTTTCAGAGAACCCCCTACTCCATCTTCTCCTGGATGAAGTGCGAAATTCCGCATTGGGCACTAACTCATCCGGTGTTTTATCTAACTTTCCTCCGTCTTTCATTGCAAGGCTCAAGTCCGGCAACTTCTTTTCGGCCCTCGAAGTTCTTGCCTCGGCACTTTCTTTCGAAACTAGTCCAGATTTGACCAAAGGAAAAGTGGTCACCCCCGTATGTCATTTTTAGGCTTGGTAACTTTATTTCTTGACTTTTCGAACACTTCCCTTGCGTTTGATTTCTCCTTCTTTGACACTCGTCTAATTCATTATTCGTCTACAAAGCTATTTCCCGGTTTGCTCCAGTCGCCTATCTTTTTTAGATTGAAGTTATTTGCCTTCGTCACTACAAGCTAGTTTTCACGACATCGGATTAAATGCCGCATAAATTCGTCTGCATTTCCTTTTCTAGATATTCGAGAAATTGCTCCAGGATTTACATTTCAAAATGCGAAATTGTTCAGTCGAAGACGAAAACCATACTACTTTCTTAACTGCCCTCGGTCAGCTTTCAGGGCTCGTTACGGTTGATGGTAAGCGTCCCATCGCGTCACTGGTACGTGCACTTACTTCGTCCGTATTCCTGCATCGTCCTTGAAAATAGCTCATGTTTAATAAACACCCCCAAAATCAGGGGTTACGTTTTCTGATTCTGTGTCTGTTCAGTAAGGTAGTCTTTCTAGCCTGTTTGCTGCTGCTGACGATTCCAGAGAATCCAACCATTCCTTTCATTATCTTCGGAAAGTTACTTTTTGTTTGTTATACCCTCTGCACACCGTTAGTTGCGCATTTCCTCGAAAACTAACCCACAGCAGAACCATATGACTGCTCCTGTCATCTGTTGTATATTCTCCCCTTGTGTTAACCATTAATTAGGGCCTGAGTTTACTGTTAGAACCGCCACATCTAAGGAGAACCACGAAAATTCTTCTTTTCCATTACTTTGTTTGGTCGTCTTTTGACTTCTCCCCGCCTACTTTGGAGAAATCATCTGCATTTGGCACTGTGTCAGCCTAGACGCTAAATTTCATTGCGTTCGTCTTCGCCGCCCGCCGTTAACCATTTACAATGAACGAACATGTGTAAATGTTTAATCACCAAACCGATGTGGATGCGCTCTTCATCGCCCCTATTGTCTTCTGCCGAGATGGCGGAAATTGTATACTACTTCTGTAAAAGCGGTTGCTTTCCTCCGCGTTTTCCATCGGAAATTTGAGCTATAAGCATAGTAAGATAAGAGACAGACTGGCGACGTTTAAAATGATCGGCAACACATTGTTTGGAGGAGGACGCAAGAGAATCCACTCAATTCATCAAGCTTACGGAACAAGAGTTAGCTTGTTTCGGACCAGTATCACCATGCCATATTGGAGTAAACATTGACGATCGCTTCGAATCAGCCGCCACGATAGACGCAATCAAATTTTTCAGCCAAACAGTGATTTCAGTCATTTCATCTAAAAAAAGAGGTTTCGTCAATACAAATTTGTCATTCCTTCGAAAAACCGCCGTCGGGCAAGTTTGCGCTTTCTCAAATAAGCCAAAAATAATGAAGTTTCTTGAAGAATTCCTTTATATGCCGTCTGGTTGGATTGATTAGCTAAAAATACATTATTTCACGAAAAAGACTACGGCAACCTTAATAAGAGCGTACAGCACAAGAAACTCAAAAACACACTGCTCTGAAGAAATACGAACTACCAAGTTTTCACATACTCCGGGTCGGATGTGTGAGCCATTAAAATATAGCATTTTTGACTTTCTTTGTAATAGGTGTGAAGAAGGTCTAAATCTGCTTTGAAGAACCATTAGGGACCATTAAAAAACTCCAAAAAGACACTTTGAACCCTTGCAGAAGACTTAGAAATTTTTTGTGATACTGTTTGCCGATGTATTGTTTCAACAGGAAAGGTAGACAAGTATTTCCGAACGAGACGTCGCGCGCTATAACTGACGGCCAGAAGCTTCGGTGCATACGCATACCCATCGTTCATTTTCAGAATTATAAGGGAACATCGAACCGAAAACAAATCACTTGCTATAATGGAAATGGTTTGGACAATGTTTGAGCATTGATGAAACACCGAGGTCATTATTGAAATAAATGGGCATTGCTGACTGCTCGGGGTTTTCTAAGGAGAATCGTCGGGTGTACATTTCTTATCAGGTTAAGACAGTGCAGCAGAATCGTATTATCAGCAGATCAGAATTGCGAATGATAAATTAGCCATTAAGCAACCAGAAGCGATAAGCAGGCAGTCTGTTTCACGTCTACCCTTGGCCCCACGCTTCACGAACTGCCAGGGAATTATGCTGTGTAATTTTGCAATATCCGCCGTGTTTATCTGGTCCTTCACCAATTACTTATTATCGCTTCCGCCATTCAGAGTTACTTCTGCAAGATAGACCAGCAGAATGGAGCATATTTTGGAACGGAGTATTTTGTGATCCTCAAACATTTGTATTGTGAAAAATATGGTATTTCGATTTTAAGCCACTAAATTCTCTCTTCCATATTTAACGACTTAATATACTGAAGTCCGCTCTAATCAGTAGTCTTTGAACTGACTGCTTCTCAAAATCAGGCAAAACGCAGAACCTGCTTCCGTAGATCGGTTAACTTCAATTCGGGCTCAACTGACTTCGCCATAAATGTTCGCCATCTCGTGAAATGAAAAAACGGTTTCCTGTTTAAACTGTGTGGGCTCTCAAAGACTGATGTCTTGAATAACCATGTCGCTTACATCTATTGTTCAGATGGTGACGCTGCCGAATTGGAAACCTCCGTTGGATGCATTTACTAGCGCTCATGGCAAAATTATTGAACAGCTGACCTTCCTGGGCCCTTTTCTCAGCTCCTCAGTCTTCGCCGATGATGATGTACGTGCTCCTGCTTGTTTTTATGCCCCCGTGCCTCATGTTTTTTCGTCAACGGGGGCTAAGCACACTCTTATTCTCGTTGGTTCTCTTTGCGTAGATAAGTCGGGCTTTCGAAGAGCATCCAAGCCATTCTTAAACGAATGCTTATGAGGTTCCGTTGGTTGGATTTTAGTTTTTGTTTCTTTCGGGCCCAGGCATTTCAGAATAACAAGACCTACTCATAACCTTAGAAGGACATATGACCATCCTTGCAGAACTGAATAGAAATATTTTTAATTTAGATTTCCTGCTCACGAGAGTGCTCCTAACATATCTTGGTTTTCATCCCTCCTTTATATGATAGGCTAGGGTGGTTGAGCGCGCCTTTCCGAATGCCGATGCGAGCGAGTCTGATTTATGCGCAAGTCAACAGGGTCTACGCTACCTCCTAGACATTGTTTGGGCTAAACACTTCTCACTTATCAAGGGCCTCCTTTCACCCAAGGTAGGTTAACGTACTACAACATTCCCTTTGTTACACCCTGCCGCCCCCTCACTCCTTTTAATGTGCGCGTTTTATCGCTTCCTACCCCCCCTCTTTTCCTGACCACACTTAGTTTGTGTTTCCTTTTGTGTCTCGCTTCTTTTGTACGCGCGTAGAACACAAGAGCCGCCATGATGGACTTTCTTTCAGACGCTATCATCCTGAACTTCGCCCGTAGCCAAATCCAATACGATGAGGACATTGTGGCGAGTGAGGGCTTCATGCTCAACGTATCCGTCCTCTTTCAACGTCTTTCTGTCCCCATTGACCAAGCATGCGTGAGTTTGACCCGTCCACTTTCCTGTTCATCTTTCCCAAGTTGAAAATACTCCGTGGGAACACTTTACGCGAACCAAACCGGACGAAATTCCTGTGTAGCTGTTTGTCTATTCTGTGGCGCTTTTTAGTAGATGCCAAAACCCGTGAAGGTGGCTCAAATCCTCAAATTTGTTCTCAACTTCGGTATAACAAGGAAGTGGAGATTCCCCCCTCCTGTAATACAGGGTGACCTTAGGCTCAATTCTAGGGAGGTTAGGGCTAGGCTTGAAACACGGAACTCGGTGCCCTTCATGGGATTTAGCGCAAGGGCACCTATATTAAGGGAGGCTCCTACTTCCTTGTCTTACTGCAACTTCAAGAATCACGTACGCGCGGTTCCAGTGCTGACAGCTATGGCAGATTGACCCAAAACGGACTGCATTGCTGCTTTAAATTTAATCAGTAGTCAAACGGGCGTGGGACACGAGTTAGATAAAGGCCATAAGCCACGTCGACCATTGCGCCCAATGCCATCTGTACTCATCCTTACTCGAAATTGTCAGCAGCACCTAATGGGAAGAAGGAGAGCGAGTGGGGCCGACCATAGGTCAAATTTTCCCTACGCTAACCCAGCACTTATTCTCTTAATAATAGTAGCTAGTGCATGTTTTAACTGTCCTGACGCAATAAACGCCGTCTTGGAAGACGGCCAACTGACTCGAAAATGTAGTCCTCCATTCCGAGCTTCAGGCCACAGTGGCTTCCATCATGAGTCTTCTGCGCGGTGCTTATGAGTGTGCGGACCAGCACTCATGTTGCTACCATAAACTTGGATTCGACCACGCCAACCACTACGCTGATTTCTAATTGTCTTCATTTTGTTGTTCCATTTGGGCATGATTGACGTGAGAGAGAAAAATGAGGTTTTCGCAACGTATGTTTGCTTTACTGTAAACAACTGGCCGCGCAAGTCGCGGTCGCCTCTCCAGACCCTGTTTCTCTGTATATTGTTTTTCAACACGTCCTTTCAGTAGGTGGCGCAACTCAGGAAATGGGCCTAAATTAACGACGAATCCAATCAGTCTTAAACCGACTCAAATGCATCGCATCAAATTAATAAGCTCAATTTTCACTAATACATGAAGCGCGTTCATGCAAATAACTGAGTGAATACGACTGCGTAAGAAGAACAACGTTTATAAATATCCTCTTTTGCAGTTTGTGCTTCAATATCCCCTAAGAATCAGTGTAATATCAAGCGTAGCAGCCAGCCAGCTGCCTGCAGTTTGGTCATGGGTTCCAAAACGGTTCTACGAGAATCCTATGTAATTTCTCCGTTTGTATTGTTCGAAATTCGGTTAACTGGGCAAAGAGGATTTCGCCTGATTTCACTGATAAGAACGTTACGGGAATAAATATTTTCGTAAGATCACATGTTAAGAGGCCCGTCAGTGACTTAGAAATTGGAATAGGATTAACAGATTCAATCGTTCTTGAGAATGTTGACCTAGGTAATGGTTTCTTGGATATCCTTTTTATTAAGGTGATAGTCTGGGTCATAGTTGTAAGCTCACCACACGTAAACCTCAACGCCATAAGAAAAGGAACGTTAACAACGAAAACCTATAATGCCTATGCTTGTGACCAGTCAAAAAAACCTTTACTACGCCACTTCTTTACAAAGTGCTATAGTAGAGTATTTCGCTAACGACTGTCCACATACATCACTTTTTTATCAAAGGAAAAATTGAAACTCCTGACCCACTCGTGCACTTCCCTGCTAAATGCTGCTAATTTTTCTGTTGAAGACGAAAGAACTCCTTTTTCTCCTTATATTGAAGTCATTTTGTTGTCTTTGCCGACTTTTGGGCTTCGTTCTACGATTATGATTGCACGACAGCGTGACTGCGCAAACACTACAACATTGCCCAAACTGTTGCCCCGTTCCTTTTCTAAATTGCATATTAGCAGAAATTAGACAGTACAAAAAACTCATAGATGTTTTTGCAGATTTTGAATAATTTTTATTGACCCAACTGTGAAAAACTCGGCGCCTCAGTGGGATTCGAACCCACACAGCAGGTTGCAGTAGGTTGGGCGGGTAACTTGACCGAAATATTATTAAACTCGCGTCGTCCGGCGGGGCCTCGTAGCTCAAGTGGTTAGAGCGTTGTCTGTACTAAAGCCTCCCCGTTTCCTCGTGGGTTCGAATCTCACCGGGCGCCGAGTTTTTCACAGTTGGGTCAATATGAAGTACAAAAAACATCTTACCATACGATCAAAAGTTAAAATGGTCGCTTAATGGTGGCTCTTCCATGATCGCGGTGTGAAATATTCGCAAAGGCCAAAAAAATACGGAGGTGCTAAAACAGCGGGAGACTTGAAGGCGTTATTCCTGTGTTTTATGGCATAAAATCGAATTAATTTTCATATCTGGATTTCGTAGGTCGAAAAAACGTCCGTTTTTTGAAGATAACCTGCCTATTCACATTCCGTGGACCAAAAACTAAATTTCAAGTGGACGCCAGTTAGCTTGGTCAAATTCTCCAGTTTATATTATTCCCCTCGTAGATGAAAACACACGGATGCGCAAAGTTTGTGTGACGCCCATTAGCATAGGAAGTTGCCTGAATATAAAGTAACTTTGATTTTCTCTCAGACTTGTACACATTTTGCCTGACAAAATTACTTAGAACCATATTCTGCATGAGCGAAGGATACTTTCCAAAACGATTTAAGCAAATAAATAACGTTTTAGGTACCCCAAGATTGTCATCTAGATTTATGTCACCCCATTACGTGAGCCAAGCCACCTGCTGTATACGATCAAATAATGATTTCCCAGAGAACTGAGGAGAATTCCTGCTGGTTCGTAATCCCGTAGGGTATTTTTTAATCTTAGCATGCGATCTTTAAATGCTTTGTATGTCGCACTTGAAAGTGCGGTCTAGAGGGGGAGTGTTATTTAGTGGTCTCCCGAAGCCAATGGCATGAATATACATAGTCGAAAACTAACTTTCTTGAGTTTTTAAACACTGATTATCAAACCTTTCTGTCTTTTCAGCCCTTTTCAGTATCGGCCCTATTGTAACGCGAGCACATTCCTGAAAGATCTTGTGGGAAACCTGTATAGCAAATAGTTTTTGAGTATTAACAAAACTTGCGTACTGAACTTTGGCTCGCCCTGCAAGTGTGGAAGTAGCGCATGTAAATTACTTTGCGCAACTGGCGGTCATGTTAGAAACAGCTCGATGGCAAGACCATTTGACGCGAATTTATGGACCCGGTGGTTGGCCTCTGTCTTGCAGCACATTGTCTGGCATCGTCAGCTTCTTCTTCCTCTCATGTTAATTCTAACAAGGGTGCCAGTTACTGGATGGCAGGTGTTTCTAAAAACATCTTTACGCCTTTTTAAATCCAATCATTCTGTCCTTCGAGCATCCGTTCTCAGAAGGCTCGATTCTTCAGAGCCTAACTGTATAAGCCTCATTGTTATCTATCCTTACGAAAAGTAAGTAGTATACAGGAGATCAAAAGGCAATAAAGGTGATAACTCCTCCCCTCGTGAGGTGTTCTTTGGTGGCTCGGTGAAGCTTCAGCAAATTAATGCGAGACCGTCTCCCGTATTGAATCACTTCTGTTCATCGCCATCAGCCACTAATCTCACCCACGGTAACATGACATCAAGATCAGCTCGTCAGACTGTTTAAATGTGTTCTGCCCTCCTAGATGCAGATCGGAAACATGAAATTCTTACCATTCTTTACAAGAGAGGCAACATGGACTTGTTGCGGAATTTTACAGAGATTCAAAGCCTTCTCGTCATTGAAAAAGCAAAAGTCGGTTAACACGCTTTTTCGATTACTCATAATCAGACCTGTGTAATAACATGCCTCACAATAGGTCAGTAAAACCTCGTCATCTTAATGCTTTTAGGATGTCCAGCCCTCCATTATTTGTGGGTCGTGGACTATTCTGCTTTTACAGTTAATCAACTGTTAATAATTCCTGCGTGGACCATTGTTTACACTAAGAAGACGAACCTAGGTCTGCCATGCCCTTTGTCGATTTGGAGGCTATCGTCTATTCGATTACAAACTCTGATTATGCGTAGTGTGACCGAGCGTCCCGGAGCTGGTGACATTGGCGTCATCTGAAAACTCAGTTACAAACCAGATAAGTAAATCAATCCACTTAGTTTAAAGTGATTATTTCTTCATTATCGAGGCCTGTGCTTCCTTGGCAATCATTCCAGCAGAGACCAATAGTAGTTGCTAAAAGTATTGCATGAACTCTACACATTTTTATCGCCCGTCCAACCCCCTATTAATTGTGTTCGCGTATTACACCACAAAGTCAACACGAGACTATCATCTGTTACATGAAGCGCCACACATGCCCTTTGTTCTAAAACGAAACAAGTTCACTTTTATGTGCTGCGATGGTAGCTTTCAGCAAGACTCCTTTGGATCCCCCGAAGTAGCCAGTTCCGCATCCATTTCTTATCCATATAATCTACTGCCGCAATTGTCTAGCACCGGTTTCACCTTATTTCTGTAACACTGTATGTATTTATCACGCTGATAACCTCTCATACCAAATTGTACCTGGTTAATATCCTCACCCTTAACTCAGTAAACATTCTTCACATCCTTCTCTTGTGTCTTCAGGTCGATCCAAATTACCTGTACAGTTCCCATTGTCGAATAGACTTAAGGGATATCACGCGCCTTGATGGGACCATGGAAGACGCGCAGGCTTACGTAAGACACCTTGGTGAGTGTGTTGACGTGTTGTGCGCTTTTGGTCTACACTTTCTTTACAGCTCTGAGTTGGGTTTATCGGTCCGACAAAAACCTTTGCCCCTGTGAACAGAAAAATGCTTTGTACGGTCACGTAGAAGTTTGAATGCGGAGCAAAGTGCACGAGCGTGATGGGGGAAATTGTACAGCAGCTTGCCCTCTCGCGTTGCGACAATGGATCGATCCCTCGTGCTTCCGTCGTCTCAAGTGGAGCAAGACAGGGTTGCGTATTCAGCGCAACCCTCTTCTGTGCATTGTTTACAGATTCTTACTAGGCTCGATACAAATCACCGAGTCGACAAGAGGCACCTCCACGTCCGAAGAGTCCACGTTTCTCCTTTACTTCCCCTGTAAAAGACAACTTGCTGAAGCGTCTTTTCCGTGTGACTTTGAATGTGTTTGGTCGCAGCCGACGGAGCGCGGCTCGTGACTCAACCGATAGGGCGTCTGGACTCGGATGCTTGACGACCACTTGACTGGAATTCAAATCTCAGATCGTCCAGCCTCGCATTGAACTATGATTGACCGGTGGCGCCAAGTAAGCCAGAGATGACTATTCCCCTGTCATTTTCGGCATCATTTCTACCTTGTTGAGTTGTCGTCGTCGCCATGCGACCGTCTGTGAAGACACTGGTCTACGGCATCTCTGGGCAAACCTGAACAAACCTCTTCCGTCCTACAACAATTCAGCGGTGCGCCACTTTCATACCGCTATCGTTGCGTGAACTGAGAAACATTGCCGGGTATTCTGACGTATAAGTGCTTGGCCCCTCCAGCCTGTGTACGCCGTCCACGCACATTCAGGTGTTGATTTTGCTTGTGCAGTTGCGTGCACATACCTAATACCCGTGTCTTACGTCCCATCTACCACTCGTACACAACGTCTACATTCCGACAAAGATGGGCTTTATAAATCACGACTAGCGGACTATCCTTCTCTAGATGTCTTGCGGCACTTTCCTCTCTAGTCTTTATCCCTTATATTCATCGTCCACCAAATATAAAAGGAACGAAAACGGTGTTGCCTTCCCCTGGCTGGTCAGTTTCCTCACGTAGGACTTCATCCTTTCCGCGGTCGATACTTTGTTGCGCGTTTCACACGTAGAAATCACTGAGGAAAGGCCGCTCAGCACATTTCTTCAGCCCTATTAGATGAATAATTGTCCCCTTCCTCTTCAGAGCACCGCCCTCTTCCGAACCTGCGAATAATATTCGATTCTCCTGTTCGTGCCCGGATTTACAGCTATGCGATGCATGTGTTCCAAGGCACTCGTAAGCAATCCACCAAAACACTGGGGAGTCCTCGAACTAGAGGCTTCATAGGTCGGGTGTTTGCTGAGGCGTCTGAATGCCCACGAAACACTCGTCCACCATGGATTCATTTTCAATTATAAGTGCAATAAATAGCATTAATCGGGAGGCGGACTTGAACTCCTGGCTGGTACTGGGCGCAATCCTATCCCACTAACAAGGCTCGCTAAAAAATTTGTGATTTAAAAACTCCGCAGTCAACTACTCCCATGCGACAAAAGCAAAGTCCATTTTGTGTTTAAATTTTTCATTTGCCGAATTTTGGCCATCTCCCTGCACTCCTGAACCTCGCCTATGGGAACTTCCTTTACTGAATTTCAAAATTCCCAAGTTAATTGTCTGGTCGGAATCGCAAGCTGGCTCCCTGTAAAGTTTCTAAGGAGGACAACGCGACTACAGTTATTGTAGAAAATAGCACAAATTAAATGGCCCACAGGGGGTAAGGCCGTCTCATCATCTAGGGCAGCACTCCCTCTTCCTGGCCCTTTATCCTCTCCAAATTCATTCCTGGCTTCATCATGACTGTCTTGACCCGACTTCGAGGTTTGACCGCATCTCGGTTATTTTTCGATTATAGTGTTCCTCAAGTTTCGTATGGTCAAGCCAACTCTTCATGCATTTCAGCCCCACATAAAGGCAAGACTCTTAGTTTTGCCAAATGAGGACACTTCCAGAGGAGACTTGTTTTTTGAATCGGACTCCCAATTCTTCCCAGGAAATGAAATCGCCTTCTTGAACATTCACTTATAACTGCCTTCGGTAAGATGTGGTTAGGTAGCCCCACCTGATGGACGCAATACTGTTGGAGTTGGAGTTAGGGGTCATTATTTGGGGTTATGGTTAGGGGTTTGAGTTAGGGGCTAGGGTTAGGGGTAATGGTTAGGGGTTAGGGCAACTATTTCTCAACCACTCATCGTATAGCTGCGCATTCCCAATAGCTTTTCTTTTGCATACAGTTACTTGACCTCGTTGCCTGTGCGGTCTCCGGCCACACTTGTAAAAAACCCTATCACCACCAGTCCCGTATTACAGGTGGTTGGGGGGGAGGGAGGCGGGTGGTAGGTGAGGCTACATAACCACATCTGACCCTGCCTTCTTTTGCGCGGTTTTGCTTCATGCTAGCGCCGCTGTTATCCTCATATAGCTATTTTATACTTCTGTTTCCCCACACTTGTACTCCACCATACTTTCCCACGTTTTTAAATAACTAACTAGCCTCTTGCTGTTTGCGCTGCCTTAACAGCTGGTGGGCTGACTGTCTTGTATCCTTTTCTAGCCTCACTGGAGCCCACGCCTCCACCAAAGTTCTCCACCGAGTGCTTTTACTTTACTGCCTGGGCCCTGAACTGCGGTCTCATGTCCAGTATTCGTAAGCATCGTCGCCGTCTTAAGGCAAAAGCAGATCTCGAGCGCAATATCGCCCAACTACAGGAATTTCTCAATCAGGCTCGAGGCGTCAGTTCTTTGCCCCCAGGTGAGTGTGTCGCTGTCTCCCCACTTGTAGGCAGCTGTGACGGCTCCTGTCAGTTGTGTACCCGCACGTCACGTGCTACTACCTGCGTCGTCACGTGGTGCGGGATGCGATTGGGACCGCAGTCTGTAATCGTACACGCGGACCCCCTAGCGAGACCGTCCGGCGTCACGTGTGTCTCAGACTCATGCACAGCGCTAGATGTGACAGTGCTGGGGCTGAATGCCGTCTCTCTCTCTCTCTCTCTCTTTCAGCCGAATTGTTTTTGAGTCGTCGTAATTCTGGGTAGACACTTTCTTCTCGAACATCAGGAGAGCTTATGACGTGTTAGCCAAATTTTCTTCCTTGTTTGTATATCCATAAAAGGCGGGCCCTTCTATGTCTCCTGCATAACTTTTTGCGAAGTGTCGCCTCCTCAGAATGATGAAACAGAATGTCATACAAGGATATTAGAGGAAGGGCGTTGAGATCGATCGACATGTTGCAGTGCCTCCTCGGAGATGATGTCCCACCTCATTGAGTGTATTTAACCCAAACATTTAAAATTATTCGTGAAATCTAGCCATCTCCGTGGTCCTGTCGACCCCGGGTGTCAGTCCATCTGTAATTCCGAAGGGAAACCAAGTGTCCACCTGACCTCCCAGCAGAGGAACCGAGAAACAGAAAACCAGAATGCCTTAAACCCAGCGATAAACGGAAGTTAGAGACTGTTCGATAAGGGGGAGGGAGGTTTTGACAGTCGGAAAAAGAGTTTGTTTTCAGGTGAAAGTGGACCTAGATCCCTCCTTACTGTACTTTGTGAAATCACAGGTTGTTCACTTTTTAACTCTTGTTTTCCGGAAGTGCTGGGGACTAGGGCAGCTAACTGTGTCTTGATTACCATTTACCCATAATGCGACAGGTGTAGTGCCTCTTCTTAAGTAAAAGGCTCCAGCACCAAACTATAGCCAAGACTGTAGAGAGCGTTGTGCCCAGTAGCTGGGCTCCATGGAGCAGCCACTTTTTGTGCGTTTTCCATCTGAGCCGAGCTGAATACCTTCACACCACTTGCCTACCCAGACTTCTGTACTATTGACTTATTCAAGTATTTCGACGTTCAACCTTTCTCGTTAAAGGAGATGGCGCCAAAGTTGTCACCCGTCTGCAGCACCTGTTTTAGCTAGTGTGCAACATTCAGTAGATAACGAACTTGGAGCAGTTTTATCACTTATCCTATACTGCCAGTCTGCTTGCTAATGTAAGTTTTTAAACCTGACATCATAGTGAATTGTTTGCCAGGAACGATCTCTTACAATCATCTCTCTGCTTTGCCAACCTCAAAGACCACCCTTTAAGTGCGCTTTGAAACACCCCGAAATAGAAACCCCCTCTCCACAATATACTGGGGAAAACGTAGGTGGCCGCCTAGCTATCGCGTTTTCCATGTTGTTATTTTAAAGCGACTGTTGAGTCGATCGTGGGTGAGCAGAGTGTTCCAGCTGTCCGGCAGATTAGCCGTGCCCGCTGTTTAGATATCGTACGCACACCGCGTAGGTCGGACGTATACCCGGGCAAGCAACGATGCATTTAGTTAATTCCGACCGCACTAGTGGACCCTTTGATTCGCCTGTAGACTCATGTCCATAGCAAATTCACAGTTGGAGTATACGGAATGGCTCGTCGAGACTTCGTAGTCCGGCCAGATTAATCCAGTTCCCACAACCAGAGCCATGACGTCTGCAGGTCACCGGTCAATAAAATGGATCAGTAACAGCTTTTCTCATGATCTCAGAGGACGGCGGGTCAGTCCGCGTATCAGAGCTGATTGGGCGAATGGGATAATTATTCATCTCCTGTTTCGTCTGATTTTTAGCGCCTAATTACACGTGGAGATATTAGGAGACACGGTGTATCCTCCAGGTTCCGGTTGCATGGCCTCATCAGGAGCACTCAGACCAATCATTCGAAACAGGAATCGACATTCAGTCGCCCCTTTTGCACACTCCGCCCACAACCCTTGCCACTACTGAGCATCTCTAGCGCTGCGTCTAATACAAATGTTAATCAACCGAAGCACTCCTTCCTTTAACAAGTCCTTTAATTTCCTACTTGAAAGCTGCTTCGTTAAGACATGTGCAAAGAGCACGTGGACAGCAAACTATGTCCTGGCCTATCACGTTTTTGGACAGGACCCTTTTACTGTGTAGCTTGATATTCTGGCTGGTTATTCATTGTTATATTTTGACTGGTTGATTGACGCGATTTAAGCAAAAAATAGTACCTGTGCTTCACTCGGTTACTCCAGCAACTAGTGTTGCATAATGTACAAAATATAAACAGAGGCCGCTAGTGTTGCCCCGCGTGCTTGTGGGCAAGGAGAATTTTTTGACAACCAGCGCATTCATATAGCCGCATACGAGCCGATCTTGTGCGTTCAATTGCATGACTACGATTTTTCCTGTCTATCATGTCGACGGCTGTCAGAGTCCTCTTTGGGTTAGTTACAGAATCCCTCCACCCATATGGCTGCGCCAGCGTACATCTTTCAGTTCAAGTGTGCATGACCAGCTATTAAAATAGCAGTGTCAGGGGCTGTTGCCTAATTTCAACAGCACTTTTGGGGCTGCCGTTCCTCTTCTGGCCGGTGCTGTTAAATAGAATTTGTCAGTTCTTGCCGTTCAACAGTTTCTTCCTTCTTTCCCACACCACTGCTCTGGCCGTACAGACCACGTCGCCAAAACTGAACGCCTTCTTGAACGCACCAAGTTCGACTTGGCCTGTCAGAAACGCGCCCTCTTCTGCAGCGAGACGGTCCTCATGCACAAGAATCTGCTGAAGCCAATGTCGGTCTACTACAGCTCTCTGGCGCAGTTCATCATGCGGGTGGCCGAGGCTGACACGTAAGTTGAGAATGTTCCTCCCCATCCATCCGTCCACCCGCTCCCCTCCCCTCAAGCAGGCGAGAGCGAGAGAGTTCTAGTGCAGGTCCGCTTGCATACCATTGAATGGTTGCCTTGGTGGAGGCAGGCCCCAATCATCGACTTTTGGGAAACACCCCCCCGATCCTGTCTAGTCAAAACTGTTGCAAGTGTGTGGCCGCTGCGCTGTCAGCGAGTTTTGCGGAGCCGACAGTGGGAACTGGGCTGTAGGTGGAGGTCAGACTGAAATACTCACCTGGTACAATCAGCCATCTGTCGTGGCCGCCCATCCACTAATATCACTTGAGGTTGCATTTCACCTGCCATCCTTATTAAAAGGAGAGATTGAGGGAGAAAAGTATTTCAGATGTGAAATGTGAAAAAAAAACTCCAAATATACTTTATTGACTACTTAAGCCCCGACCACTGTCTGTAGTCTTAGCGTGCGCGAAATTATGAAAATACTAGGAAGAGCTTTCTTTCGGCTGTGTTCTGACCTTCGCGGAATGTCCAGAGGTATTTAGGGAAATGTAGTCCAGCCGTCTCAAGCATTGCGTTCCATCATTGTCCGGAAGGTGCAGAGGTGACCTACTCACCAACTCATTCTTTAGCATAACAGACTTTCGTGGCATCTGTCTCACTCGCGTATTTCCTCAGCCACCTTGTTCTCGCTAGAAGAAAAAGCCCAAACGACTGGAAAAAGGCGTGGTCACAGTGGGTGACAAAGCCAATTACCTCATTAATTTTTGTCACGCAGACGGCCTTGTTCCTAACTTCGCACGAGGCAAGCTTCAAAGAAATACGGTTGAAGGGGGCTCTGAATATGGTACGTTAAGAATGAGCAATTGCGGTCTGACCCTCGTTCTAAATGAGGAACGGTCTGGCCTCTCACAGGTAGCCATCCAAAGCCACGACTTCGATGGCGTCGTGATAAAATTCCAGCGAGTGGCATTTATGTTACGGTGACGGGACCCACAATGGAATCGCTGTCTAGAGTGAAAAGAACAAGTGACCACGCGCGTCGAAGCGGGTCAAGGCAGCTGGGAAGTACATGCGTCAAACCGGCTAGCCAATCACCGTGCGACGCGCCACAGCGAGTTTTGCGGAGCCGACAGTGGGAACTGGGCTGTAGGTGGAGGTCAGACTGAAATACTCACCTGGTGCAATCAGCTATCTGTCGTGGCCGCCCATCCACTAATATCACTTGAGGTTGCATCTCACCTGCCATCCTTATTAAAAGAAGAGATTGAGGGAAAAAGTATTTCAGATGTGAAATGTGAAAAAAAAACTCCAAATATACTTTATTGACTACTTAAGCCCCGACCACTGTCTGTAGTCTTAGCGTGCGCGAAATTATGAAAATACTAGGAAGAGCTTTCTTTCGGCTGTGTTCTGACCTTCGGGGAATGTCCAGAGGTATTTAGGGAAATGTAGTCCAGCCGTCTCAAGCATTGCGTTCCATCATTGTCCGGAAGGTGCAGAGGTGACCTACTCACCAACTCATTCTTTAGCATAACAGACTTTCGTGGCATCTGTCTCACTCGCGTATTTCCTCAGCCACCTTGTTCTCGCTAGAAGAAAAAGCCCAAACGACTGGAAAAAGGCGTGGTCACAGTGGGTGACAAAGCCAATTACCTCATTAATTTTTGTCACGCAGACGGCCTTGTTCCTAACTTCGCACGAGGCAAGCTTCAAAGAAATACGGTTGAAGGGGGCCCTGAATATGGTACGTTAAGAATGAGCAATTGCGGTCTGACCCTCGTTCTAAATGAGGAACGGTCTGGCCTCTCACAGGTAGCCATCCAAAGCCACGACTTCGATGGCGTCGTGATAAAATTCCAGCGAGTGGCATTTATGTTACGGTGACGGGACCCACAATGGAATCGCTGTCTAGAGTGAAAAGAACAAGTGACCACGCGCGTCGAAGCGGGTCAAGGCAGCTGGGAAGTACATGCGTCAAACCGGCTAGCCAATCACCGTGCGACGCGCCACAGGCCAGAATATTCCAGAATGCCCTCCGCGATCGGAACCCCATTGGTCGAAAGGTTCGAGAACGGCCACAACTCCGATAAAAGGTGTTAGTTGATGAGCTAAGGGATCCGCTGTTTTCCTCCGACCTAGAATAAGGTGTTTTTCTCCAGAGCCCGCCTTCCTTCTCTCCCATCTCACCCGTCGGCATAGAACAAGCAGGAGACATAGCTGTCCGGCATTATGCTTGCAGCAGAACAAATGCAACAGCTCCTAGACACACAACAGACCAGCTTTGCAACTTTGCTGCCAGAAATACAGAAGATTTGGACTCCGACCGGCAAGAGCAAGAGAAAAGAACCCTAAGGGCCTACCACAGAATTTACTTACGATCCCGACGGCGGCATAAATTTTGAAAAATGGTCCCTGAAATACGCACTACTACCTGAAGAGGACGGCTCACAGTTGGAAGAGAAATAGAAGGCCGGGTCAGCCAGAAAATGAGCGGTACGTAAAATTTGTTTTACCAAAGAAGCCAGCTGATATTTTATTTGAGGACGCCACTAAGAATTCAAAGTCGTTATCCAATTTCTCGAAGTGACTGTTCAACAGACGTATGTGCGTTTTAAATTAGAAAGACAGCCCTATAAAGACTATATTGACCTATCTGGTCGGCCAAATGACGCCCACTATCAAGCTGGCGTAGGTCACGAGCTAGCAGAGGAAGGCTCTTCTTTTTATCAAACCTTTGGTTTTTCCGAAGGACGCTGACGTACGCACGCGTCTACCTGCCCAGCTAGATCAGCGAACCGAGATAACGGTGCAGAGATGTGCGTGCGAATCATGAATATCAAGAGCGACATTAGGCTGATTGACGACACAAACAGCCAGCCAGTAACCGTGTATGGTACAAAAACCAGCAAACCGAGGGAGAACTGTAGTTTCCTCGGGGAAACCAAAAACAGCCTGTTAATATTGTGGCAAATGGAATTTCGTGTCAGATTGTCCATATCGCAGAAGAAAATGGTACGAATGTTCTCTGTTCGGCCACAAAGTGACACACTGTCGGGACAAACAATCGGGTCCAAGAAGGAGCTGTAATGCGATCACCCAGCACGAATCACAGGTGTTCACCTGTGAATATAGAGAACGCCAGACGGTCACTATGAACGGGAAACAGGTCGACACAGCTTCCGATCTCACGATAGTCAACAAAATTACGTGGAAGCCTTTGGGTATCCGTAATTGAGACCAACGGCCGTCCGGGCATGGGCATCAAACAGTACAAAAGTGCAATTGGAATGTGTCTTCCAGGTTATTATAATTTTCGAGGACAAACCATGTCTGCCGGACATCTCTGTCTCGAAGTCTGGTAACTGTCTACTGGGCAACAAGACTATCTCCCAGCTAGGCCTCTGGGGTCGGTCGTTCTAGGAGATATGCTGAGCTGTAAAGGTCACAGAAGAAGGCCGGGAGAAGAAGTATACCGGACAGATGAAGATGTCGGTCAGAACGTAAACAAAAGTGGAGGCGATTTTGTGGGTGAACCCGGGGAAGAAACAAGTCTCCAGATAGAGTCGACGCGATGGCGTATTATCCTCTTGATTTATGACTTCACAATCCAGTATGTACGCGCTCAGAAGTCCGAATCTCCTGACGCCTTTCCACGACTTGGCGCAGGCGAGGAAAAGTAAAAATACTTTGTGGTCGTAAGCACGCTGGTACAAAATGATGGCGAGTTTAGAGGTGTCATCCAACAGTTGCCCATCACAGCCCAACATATCAGGGCCCCCACCGAATCCGACTCCCTATTGCGCCAGGTAATGGAATTTATTCGGATTGGTTGACCTGCTGAAGGCAAAGTACATCCATCTATAAAATCCTTCAGGAACAGAAATGAGCAGCTGTGTATCACGTAAAATTGTATGATGTATGGTGGTAGAGTGGTGACTTCAGCCAGATATCAGCATTAAGTTTTTCGGGAGCTCCATGTCGGACATCAGGGTATGACCGCATAAAACAATTAACTTTAAGGTACGTAAATTGGCCGGAAATTGATAAGGACATATAATCTTTCGTTCTCAGCTGTGACCCGTGTGGACTTGAGACTATAAACCCCCCAAAGGTGCCGCCTGTGCCATGGCCGAATTTGACAAGACCGCGGAATGGAGTCTATATGGAATTCATTGGACCGTTCCTTAATCGAATATTTCTAAAATGTTGTCGACGCGCGGCCAAAGTGTCTGGAAGTTTTCGGCGTCGCAGCAGCTACTGCTGATATCACAGCAAATAAGACGGAAGAACTCATCTCAAGATATGGCATCCCCACGGAGGTTGCAACGGATAACGACACACAGTTTAAGTCATCGCTGTTCCATAAATTGGGCCAAAATTGGGGATCCAACGTCACCACCATTTCATCCCCAATTTACTGGCCATCCAGAACGCTCGGTCGATACCTTCAAGAGAGCGATGAAAAAGATGTGGAACATGGTCATTAAGATGGACTGCCACAACACATTCCTTTTCGACTATAGAACAACCCCAAAAACTCATCTTGGCGCACAAACACCAGTCGCGCCTTTTTGGGCCTACAGCCAGATGTACGAGTACAATACTTAAAACCAGAAGTCAGTTCTCCACCCGGCAAGATACAACTTTCGAGAGGGAGAAGAGGTGTTCGCTCGCAGTTACAAAGCCGGAGAAAAGTCCTGGTTAGAGGGTATAGTAAAGAAATCCAGAGGTGTTGTGTTCGAGGTGGAGACAACTGCTGGAAAAATCAAAAGGCATGCGAACCAGTTCATGTATAGATCCATCGCAGACGGCCACCTAGCGCTCGACCTGCCATACGACACCATCGAGGGCAAGGATAAAGTGTACGACGGGGGTCAGAAAAAGGTAACCTGTGGAGCGTTTCTTACGCTACTCGTGGTAATAAGATTTATATGTGTGTAGCCTCATAGAAGTGTACTGAAGCCTCCTTAAAAAGAAACTACTCGAAGCAAGCCTCGTGTCCGACAGAGCGGTATGGGTCCACGTGGACGAAGTGCAGTACCGCCTTTGATTTGGGCTTGACAACGGGGACCTAAAGGATGCATGGGAGACCTTTTTGTCCAATATTGCGGACGCAAAGGAGTAGGTCGTGTGGTAATATTCTCTGTTGGGTACCCGGACATGACGACGGTGTGGGCGGTGGGAATATGCATAGGAAGGCGCCTCGTGCATCCCCCCAACTCCGGACAAGTCATTTGCTTTTTACGAAAGAATTGCTTGTGGGAGGTGCAGAACAATGAGTCCATATAGACATTTTTGCATCACCGCATCCACAGGCAATTTAGTCCAAAGAACGTCACCCTGCCGGGGTTACAGCCGTCGAAGGGCGTGACTGGATTTCGACCGAAAACTCTACCGAACAACGTCTGCGTAGATGAATATAGTAGGCAATTCCCGACGGTAACCCTACCCCCGATCGTATACTTTATCCCCTTTGAGGTTCCGGCCCCCAAGGTAGGCAGTCAGCCAACACCGCATATCACTCGTAGAAGTAGCAGAAGAACGCAGCCTCCAAGGAAACTGGTCTCGGGCCCGAAGAAGAGAAATAGGTACGAGGTACAACTTTGAAAAGCAGAAGGTCATAATGGAAATCGCATGCAATGTGGAGTCAAGGCCTAGGGCGAAGGGAAGACTTGACCGCGCACGGAACAGCAGACCATGCCAGCAGCGTGAGACCAACGCGTACGCTGCCTTTGCCCTCGCGTGAGGCCCAGTCGATGGCCGGTCGAATATCCGAGACTTCCAGGAGGGGATTTTCGCGCACCCAACAGCCAATCCATAACCTACACGCCATAGGCCGGAATGTTCCAGAACGCCCAGGGTCCTAAATAAATAGGACGCCTTTCGAGAAGTTAAGGAACCGTGTTTGCAGGCTGTGGAAGTAAAGTGGTTGTTCTCAGGACACGTATTCCATCTCTTCTCCCTTACCTGTCGGGCTATGAGTTTACTTTAGGGAAAAATATGTTCAGTCATCAGGACGAAGGGTGGCTGGTCAATTGTGGTCCCAATATTTCCCCCTCCCACTGGAATGTACCAGCTACCTGTCCGATCTGGTCAGTCAGCCGGTGATGAGATCGGTGGGGTGTGGTGGCACGCCTAGGTGCGGGTCCGGCCGTGCCAGCCACCTGCGCCCTCCTCCGCCTCCGGTCTTCTCGACTCTGCCTTGACACCGGGTCCTGGTGGTGGAGGAGGGGAGAGTGCGGTAGATTCCGCGCAAGTCCACTATCACCAAACTAATTCACGCGCAATTCGCCGTGTCTGTTGCACCTTGCTGTGTAGCGCAGAGGGTGGACATAGTCGGAATCGACGGCCGAATTGTCGATGAGATCGGTCACAGTTTGACATGACGTGGCCTGGTGCAACTGTGTATGAGGGCTTGTTTTGTACTGATCATCTTTGTGATCCCGCCTGGGTAAACTCCCTCCCATGTCAAAAATTGTTCGTGTTTCGTGATTTTTGGGGCCTATTGCGCAAAAATTATTGGGGCTGGAAGTTCCTTTGTACACAACGCACGTTTACTTATGCCGTGGGCCAGTATTTGCATAGTACAGATTTCGCTTCCTACTGAAGGGACTAGATTAAGAAAGTGCCGCGGAACTCCGTCGCGAGAAGCGGACCACCGTCTAACGAACTCCGAATTAAACATTGAAGTCATTTACCTGTTTTGCCGGTTCGAAAAGGCCGAAAAGTTTTGACCTCTGGTTATGGATCAATAATAGACAATATCATCACCGTCCTTTTCTGACAGTCTTTACTTTCCTCGGCCGTAATCACTACCACCGAAATGTCATTTTAACGGTTTGGCACGCAAAGTTCTGGCTTTTTTTATTTGTTTCCGTGTATACTTCAGGCGTTGAATTAAGTTTTACAGCGCGTCTTGCCAGCCCCATTTCGCCTTACCAACTTCACCCCTAAAGTCTTCACCCATAAGGCGAACGGAGTCGTAGCGCGAATAGGTGATCATCCCGAAAAAGCTTTGTGATTTCGAATTCTAAATTACTAAACCACAAACTTCCTGAGGTGGTGAAAGAGTTGTCTCAGGAACTTCAGCGTAATTCAGTATTGATAAGTTAAGTCTTAAGAAACAAAGTTTTCATTACGACGTGCCTGTAAAATGATGTACAAGTGTATGAGGGGTTCAGTTAGCCCCTTGAATCGAAGTATTTATAAGCACTTAACGACAGTATAAGCTTTATATTTTGCCATCTGTCAGCTATTTCGACACCCATTTCGATCGATCGGCGGCTTTCTAGTGAATCACTGTGCCGCGCACTCGTCGGGGCTTAAAAACGTCCTCCCAGGCTGCTTCGTTGTTTTCCTTATGCTGATTTCGTTTGGATAAAGTAGCTTCTCAACTGGCCTAACGTCGCGCTTTTCGACGGATGGCTGGTCATCACCAGTCCTCATGCATTTAAACCGCTTCGGAAATTCGAACCCAAACTAGAGCTGTCCCAATGATTGTCCCCACCTTTTCAGCAAATTCCACCTGCATTCATATTTTGCTATGATCAGTGTAGAAGTTGGATGTCCCTACTCAAAGCTATCGTCTACCTCCCACTTTTCGACGTGGTTTTTTATTCTGATTCATTTCTCTTCCTCCGTGGGTCACAAGAGGTTTCTGTTCTCGTAGATATCCCTGTTAACGTAGGTTAAGCATCCTTGCAAATTTTCTCATTTGACATCTAAACCTAATTTTGCTATCATCCTGGGTATGCGTTTCTCCGTTTTTTTTTTGAATCGCTTAAAAGTTCCTTTTGGTTACTCCTCTGTCAGGAGAAATAACTTCATCACATTCCAAAACGGCTTTTCTGACCTTTTAGAAAAATCTGCCCCTTCAGGAAATATTTTCATCTCTCGTAGTGCGTATAAATCTTGCAAATTTTAAATCAGATGTGCTTAGTTAGCTTGCTATTAGATGTTGCATCAAGATGCGTCAAGCTTCATGATGTTTCCGTTTGATGGGCGGGTGGAAATGCTTTTTGCCGTCTTGCCATGGGGCAAAACGCCCCTCGAAGCTCGATGGTAGCGACAGCACGAAGTTGTCGACTAAAAGCATTGTACTTAGCCTCAGATTTCCATCTTGTCATCTCAAGCTCCCCAATATTCGAGTTATATTTGCGCGAAGATTTCGGTAATCCATTTTGCATACCTAGGCGTCTTTAGCCGCCATGCCTGTTAACTGTCCTTTTTGTCTACACGAGGTCAGATTTCATAGTACAATTTGACCACATCATAACCTGTTAAACCTCAGTAAGTTCTTGCATAACCTTCCTATCCAGCCTTGGCGCCTCTGCGCTACCTCCTTAAGTATTTGTTTAAAGGGGCATTCGATTACGATAAACATGCCAACATTAACCTCTTAAATCATTTCGACCCTGAATGTCCGGGTTTTTGTTGACGCCAGCTCTTTTCTCCGCTACTGAACATACAAGGCGTGACCTAACTCATGAAACTTGATGACAGAAACTGAGACGAAAGCGTTAAGGCCCCTTAAACGTTGCGCACTTTGCTCACTTGCCCAGCGCCCTCTGGTAAATGTCTTTTTCTCGTGTAGAAGATGTCTTAGCAATTTTATCAGGCAAGATTTTCTTAGGTTTGAGTGAAGATGGACGTTGCGATATATTCGGGCAACTTCCCATGCTAATACCTGTTCAGGACTTGGTTCGCGCACCTGAGCATGTTTTTTTTTCTTTGAGAGAAGAGTAATTTGCCCTTTAGAGTTTCACTAACCAGATCTTGCTGCATTTAAAAACTGACTTTTTTGCCTGATGCCAAGCGTGTAAATCAGGTTGCGATCCCGCAGGTTTTTTTAAAGAACCAGACGCTTCATCGATTTATAAAAGCTTTTTGCAATTCCGAGCGAGAATGGTTTTTAAAAACTGCCAAAAATTTCGTGCCAGAGATATTTTTTCTCAGATAATCGGCAAGGAGGGACTTCTGGTGCTGTGACTTCCAGCAGCACATGCGTCTTGACAGCACCGTTTTTAAAGTTATGTAATGCTACTTTTCAGTTTTATTGGACTTCACACTGCATCACACTTTTTTGCTCTCAGGATTACTTGTGTATCAAGAGCGGAGGTCACCCCAAAACAATTCGCCTTCCTGCCGGAGTTCTTTGTGGACGACATCGCAGACTTTCTGCTTTTTGTTGCGAGGTACTTGACTTTCTTTTCGCCTAAGTCTCTGCTCCTCATTCTTATCCAAAAAGTAATTGTCCAGATTGTATTATCCAACAGAGGACGCCTGCACTTGCTTGGTGCATCGAACACCATCTCCTTGCATCTTTTTTTAGGACCGCACACGCTTTCTGCCCCGTCCCGCCGCCCATCCATCTGTATATTGTCCATACCCGAATCATGCTTTTCTGCTAGTCGTTGTTGGGTGCTAAATTTGGCCTTCGTAATTGAACCGTAGAAACTCTTTCGTCGTCTGAGATATTTACTGTCACCTGATTTGCGGCCTCCGTAGAATATTATTATAGTCCCTCACCCTCGTCCGTCTCAGTCCTATGAACAGTTCATTCCTACCGCCATTTTCTGCAGGGTTGACCTCAGCCCTGTCCTTGATGACCTATCCCGGTCCTGGAGGGGTCTGAACGGCATACAGTAGTTCGGGCGTCGTAATAGCCCTTTTCCCGGCAGCCAGCAACTCGACTGCGTGGGAGCCGATAATCTTGACTGGCACACAGACACATAGCAGCGGCATGACAACTACATACTTCAACACCTGGCCAATCGAGTTGCCAACTGTGATAAGCATGTAGCGGCCTAGAATCTATATCCTATAAATACCGCAACACCTGGGCAATTCACTACCCTTATCTGACTCTGTTTCTAGTGATGGATTCAAGTGAGAATTAGAAACGTGACTAGTAAAGCTCTTGTTCCAGCGATCGCGTCCTCCTTCATCGCGACTACTTCCTGGAACTCGCCTCTTTGCTTCTATTTTCCTTCCTACTTGTTTGATTTGGAACTGTTGGATAAAAGCACTCCTGCACATAAGTTTGCGTTGACAGTGTGGTATATTAGTGTTGTTATTCAGTACAAAACCATCTCTGCTAACGGTTAGTCTAACTAGACGCCGACCAGGTATGGCAAGTGTGGAAATTGCCTCCTTTCTAGACAGCACCAGCACAAACCACCGCACCCAGTCCTCACGCAGACGCCACAGGGCCAAGTGAACCGGGGTAGTCTGCTCGCTGTTGTGTGAAGTTTTGTGGGCTGGTGTCGCGTAGTTTTTTCGGCTACAGATTTGTGAACACTGATGGTAGAATTGAGCCGAGGGGCAATGTTGCCTTTGTGGACGTAGACGCGTAGGTATCCAACCAGGACAATTGGGCACTGGCTAGGCAAAAATATCCTTCTGACGGAGATGGGCAACGTATTATGTTCGGAGCCAGCTGTTGTTTATCATTCCAACAGCTACTAACACCTACTTAGTGCTATAGTAAGGCGTAAAAAGCTGAGATTCATCGCTTTCCCGCACGTATTTTGTCGGAAAGATTTGGAGCCTAGTCGATATGTCCGAGTCTGTAAATGCCTTAATAATAGTGACACTTCTTTGGAGTAAGGACTGTCTCTGCTGTTTTTGCCGCTGTTCCAATGGCAATTATTATGACATCACAGTATTGCAAAGCACTTGACGTCCAGAAGCGCGCATAGCGGTCCATTTTTCGCGGTATAAATGTCTGGTGGGCCTTGCCATTCCGCAAAATGCTTTTCCGTATCAAGCGTCTCTGCCTATTGTTAATTCTGTAACATATTTTACACGAAAGACAGTCGAGTATTGCGATTTATATGACAAACCATCCTTCCACGACGCCATTTGGTCACGTCATGCCTTCCACTTTTTGAAAAATCACAAACGCCTTGAGAAGTACCGTGCATCTGTTTGGTGGTAATTTATCTCCTTTTTTCACCGTTTTTTAAGTTCCTTGCTGATGCCCTGTCTGGCGGATGCTGGCACTCTCTCATCTTTCGTCAATTTCATCCTGTTTGCAAGTTGCCATGCCCACTTCATCCGCAATCCCTATCTGGTCGCCAAGTGTGTCGAGGTTTGTACATCACTTTTCTCTTTGCCTTCTTCCTTATTCACGTGCGGAAGTTGTCTTTTGCCCTCAGCCCTCCTCAATGACTGTCTTTGTGCACAGGAGTTTTCTCAGTCAGGAACGTCGAACTCTCTCTGTGTGTACTTTTCTGTACTAATTCATGATCAGTTTTCACCGAACTCGATTGGAACGTTGAGAAAGGAGACAATCAATGAGCCAATTATGACCCCCTGTCTGTCTTTCAGTTCACTTTCTGTCTAAGCCGTTGCATGTCTTCCTCAGTGGTGAAAAGTTAGGAACCGTCCATTTTAAAATGTGTTTGGTTCTTTCGCGTAAAATTACCGTGTGAGGCTTGCTGTTAGGTAGGTGCGACCGCAGAACCGACTAGCAAGGAGTTTTCTCTCAACCGGCCCTCGGTTGAACGGCCTTCCACCCGTCTGCGTAAATCAAGCCTACAAAATACTTGCTACTTAAGCGCTTTGCCTCTGTTAACCAATTAAATTTTATGGAGGGCAAGCGTTAACGTCCATTTTCTTGGAAATTACGCCTTCATCGGTCTTTTTCATGCTTCCGAGCATGGGCATTGATTAGCTTTGGATAAAAAATCCCCTAATACTTGTGTATTTTAAACAAAATCACCATTCATATGGACCCAACTGTGAAAAACTCGGCGCCTCGGTGTGATTCGAACCCACTTAGTAAGGGGAAGGCTTTAGTACAGCCATTCTTACATTCCTCTAAGGTTTCCACGCTAAATGCCGCGTACTTTCTCCGAAAAGAAAACCAGCACAACCATGTGTTGACACTAGGAGGCTTTCTGTTAGCCAATGGATTTCTGTAGAGCATTTGTCGAGCATACGCGTACATTCGATAAATTCTCATCGGGCGGGGTACAAAGTGAACCGTGTGCGCCATGAGAGGAATCGATTTACTGTTCGTCTTTGCATACAAGCGGGGTGCGTGAATAGGGGAGAGGAGGCAGTAAGTGACAGTGTGGGTTAGGTAGAGCCGTGTCACAGGGGGGGGGAGGAAGGACGGGGGGCGCAGAGACACATACAGTTAATCGATCTTTGCCCACGGTAGACGTTGATCTTGCAAGTAGTCGTTGACCCAGTCGCTTACCCTAGTTTGGTCGGAGCCTGTAAATCGCACGGAGGGCTTCGTTGGGATCCACACGATGCCTCGAATCAACCGTATACATTTTTATTACATTGCGTGTTTTGTGAGTTACATCATTAAACCCGTGGACGGTGCGCAACCTTGATACTTTCCAAAAAACTGAAGTGTCCTCTTCCCTTATCATCCACATTTTATGCAGACATACTTTTCCACAAATAAAATGTACAAAATAGTCTACTATGCAGCCCTGGCAACATTACTCTTTGCTTAGTCAGTATTTTGCGAGTTTCATTCACACGGGAGTGTGAAAAAGGCCGGCACACTACTGCACAGAAATTGACTTGGACGTACACGCCCTGATAACCAGCTGTACAACCCAACCAACAAAATATCAGGCCGACCATCGAGCTAAGAACGGACCCTTCATGTAAGACCTAATAGCAGCCTGAGGAGCAAACCACACCAACACTTCATGCTAGCTTTGACTTGTTTCGGGACGATTTCGCATAAATGAAAGTTCATACCAATTTACTCTGAATAATTAGCCTGCTTGGTAAGCTGCCTCATCCTCTTGAGCCTGCCTATTCAAGCAAAAGTCTTAAAATTTGGAATTTTCCGTGACCAGGATTATGCAAGGTTTTATAGGTTAGGTCTTATTGATACGTCATGATATAGCAACAGTGGGTTTAAAACATGGCACAATTGACAGCACGCTACGGTGCAAATCTTCATGCGGGACCTTTCATCGCACCCAGCTGTCAGAGTTCACTTATGATCTGTGACCGAGCTCATGAAATGTTGGTCGAAATTCCGAAATGCTTCTTTGATTGAGAGGGACTATCTAAGTAGGAGTACAATAATAATTACCATGCAGAGTACACCCCAGTTGTTTCAGCCACGATAGGGTTCCGGCTTTTGAAATCACTTCCCTTCGGTCGCCTGCAAGAACTTCACTTGGCCTAAAAACGCAAATGCAACCGCAGAGCGGGCTCAAAATTATTCAGGAATTAAGAAACTTCAAAACCTAGAAATATGCTTTCAAATTAATGCAGGAAAGGCCTTTTATGCACGTTTTCAATAAAATAAGGGCCATCGAAAGGCACTGAAACAGTCATACTACCCAGGTAGTCATTTTTACTGAATGCGGTAAAAGAATTGTATTCAAAAGCCGCATTCAGCCTTGACTGAAATATCCTGGGATTACGCTGCATGATAATCAATATTACAATCCCACTGAAATAATTCTTCCCAGTCGAAGGCACATTTCAGAATTTTGGTTGAAATTTCCTGAGATCGGTCACTGACTGTAGGTATGCCATCCTTTTGGACGAAATACACAAGGATTTTGTTTAATATTTCTTTAGCTTCCACCTCTGCGAGGGATTTCGATGCCCGAAACACCGGCTGTCAAGCAAAACTAATGCACCCTTGGTTTAGGTCAAGTGTCTACATCTGCCTATTTCATATCCATTAATCGTCGAGGCATTCTGCCTATTGCCCTAACTTAATGCGCCCCCTCTCTCTCCACCCCCTAGGTCCTCTCGTACTGGTGCCACCCCGGTAGCTTGGGTCCAGGAAACAACCTGAAAGGAGTCTTGGAGACTCTTGCTAATTCGAGACTGATTAGCGCCCTGATCCGGTTCTACATCGACATTGAGTCAACCGGTGCCTCCAATGAGTTCTATGACAAGTTCTCCATTCGGTTCAATATCTCTGTCATCTTCATCACTCTATGGGATGTGGGCTTTTTTAAGCCCCACTTCCTCCGTGAGGCTGAGTACGTGTCAACCTTTCCTTTCCATTCATTCCTATTAAGTTTCCACGGGCTTCTCAACATTGCGCTGTTGTGGGTTGGTGAGTGATGACGGCCTAGTTCCGTAAACTTACCGTTACGGGGGTTCATCAATTTCCGTCAAGTAGATCAGTATTTAACTGCCTCACAAGTCATAAAACTCCGTCGTTAGTGTTGGTTACTTGGTTAGTTTATTTTTTTCGCTTCACTTCCCACAGAGAAATGGATACACCAGTGAAACTTTTGGACCGATTAATTTGCGTTGAGGACGAGATGGGTTACCCAAGTGATGCACTTCTTTGAATTACAGATGTTCAAGACTGTTTTCGCAGTTGACCTCACTGGCTGAGTACTTCCGCCCAGTGGGTGTTCCGTGTCCGGGGGTCAATTTGCGACGTCTCTGCATGTGCCTGCTTAAACTGTCCTAAACTGATTGGGTAGACGTGAATTGCCGTTGATCACGTTGATGATACAGGTTGATATCCCCTCTATGGGCAGTCTAGCTTCTAAATGTGGCTGTAAGGGGTGTGCGCCCTGCCTATACAGGAGGCGTGAGATGTGGATCTTGTCTCCAGTTGCGTGTTCGCTGCGTCAAGTAAGGGCATGTGGCCGTCTATGAGTCGCGTGATCGCCCGTGTTAGAGTTGACGGAATTTCAGGCTAGCACGTTCGAACGAGTGACCCTCAGGCGGTAGGGTACGCATAAGGCCCCCAAACCCGCCGCACCACTTCTCCATGGAGCCCTAACTATTGCCGTGAACGCGTCTGGTACGGGGGTTCGGGCCACGTCAGGCTGCGGCTGCTACTATCTCTAACGATGAACTGCAGGAGTTCGAAAACTCAGAACGATAATACCCCGGTGCTCCACCAGCCTTCTTCTTCTTCTTCACTTAGACGTCAGGTGGTGCTTCATCGTTTCGTCGGTTGACTGACAAGCTCAGGCAGGCCACTGGTGTATACGAGAGAAAGAAGCCGATATTGGTAATTGACCACATTCTTTACTTAAATGAATTAGCACGACGCACGGAAAGTCGTAGTTTGAGAAGCTACTGGTTGACAGACCAGTAGAATGAGAACTAGGCTGTTATTGCTCCTTCGTAGAGCAGTGTCTTATCTCCTGTGGTATCCAGACCCGCCTGCATCTTTACTGACTCAGTCTTGATACCCGGTTCAGGTGGGTGGGGCGTGCGCTAGATGCATCGAAAGTCCACTATCATTATAAACTAGTTCACGCGCAAGCCACTGTCCCTCCGCCCACCCTGCTGTGGGGCATACGATGGACATCGTCGGTAAATACGACCGAACTGTTACGTGTAATCAACAAGTTGGCTAACTTTGTCCGTCACTGTGCCGACGTCCTTTTCCGGTCGTCTTAGCTTCTCTTGTCATCACAGCACGCTGGGTGAGGGTGAGGTAGTTGGCGCGAAAGTCAGCTACTCAAAAAGGCAAATTTACATGTAGGTCAGTTCTGCACTCTGGGGACAGGGATGGAACGCATTACTTGCTAGAAGGAAACCACATGCTTGCATTCCATCTCGCCTCTGCCTGGTGCATAATGCTAAACCTGAGCATGGGAAGGGATTCATTTCACTGCCTTTCCAGGCTCCCTGCTACATGGATACTGCATCTCTTTGCAACGTGTACCAATTGTGTTCGTTTCCATGCTTACACCCCCCCTACATCTCGTATGATAGGGAGGATCCGGCCATCTTCACAAAGTTCATCAATCGCATGATCAATGACATGTCCTTCCTGCTTGAAGAGGCTCTTGATGGCCTTAAGAAGGTGCGCGAGCTCCAGGAACTGCGCAATGACGCCGGTCGGTGGAGTAGGTTGTCACGACAACAGCAGCTTAACAACGCTGCCGAATTGGCCACTCATGAGCGTCAGGTAGGCCCTCTGTTCCTGCTTGTTGCCGTTTCTGCTAGCAGAGCATTATTCAGCGTCTGAACAGGTCCAGTCTAAACAATGTGTCCTCCTGAATACTCTCACGATCAGGTCTCCTGGTGAACTGCCCTACATCTCACAGTCCGCCGCGGGATACCTCTTCCCTGTTTGCTTCCTCTTAATTATCTATGCTATGGGTAGATTTTCTTGCCACTTGTGATCCCTTTTTCTAGGATAAGTTCGATTAGAGGTATATGCAAACAGAGTGACATCTCACCTCTTTTGTGTTTTTACCCCAAACGTGACTTTTGGTCCGCGTTTCGCGGTATGCTGCTTTTAGCCACAAGGGTCGCCCCCGGTGGCATAGGGTTATTGGTTTTGTTTTGTGTTGATTTAAGAAGATAAACGTATGAACATACTGAGCACGTTAACTGCCTTGAGGTCTGCTGTGCATGTGAAGTGGACGGCCAGCACGTGTTGGGCACGTGTAGACGGGAACTTTATGTCAGGTCACTGCTGACAGGCCTACCTCTAGTCGTCCCGAACTCTTCTTGTCATTTGGCAGCATGGGCATAAGAACTGGGTGTATTGTCGATACAGCACAAGTCCCCCTCCGTATGATCTAGTTCACGTTCTCTTCACCACGCTGCCCCTCCAGGATAGTGATTTTCACCATTGCTTTAGGCAGGTTGTCGAACCCTTGGAAGTATGCAAAGGGTTGGTTCTTGGTCAAATGGTGGATAGCCAAAAATCCACACTGCACCGTCCTTTTCTTTCCTTTTGATGGCGCTACAAATGCCCTATCCAAATGTCGGCGAGGATCTTCCACCTAACGAGTCTTGCCTGATGAACTACGGCCCTCACTGGTAGAATTGACAATTCGAGAGTGTTAATTTTAAATCGCTAGAAGAACAAATTAGTCAGACGGCTACGTAAACTAGGCGAAACGTCATTGTGGAAAATTAATCGAATTCTCTTCATTTTGCGCATCTTGCCTAATTGATCTATGTGCTTATTTAAAAGAATTCTCCCTGAAATCGAGAGCTTTCTGGCTATTATGAAATTCTTCATAAACATTGTCTCTTTGCCTCCCTCTCCCTGTACTTGTCTTTTACCTCCTTTTCCACCAAATTCTGGTAGAAGTTCGTGTCGTAGTATTTTAACACCAGACTCTCTTAACCTCTACATATTCACCAAATAATGCCCATGTCATCCATTGTGCTGCAATCTTTTGTTGACTAGCATTTTATTTATTCGATCCTCTGCAGGTCCGATCCTACCTCACTCTTGCCAACCAGACCGTGAAATTGCTCTTCCACCTCACTATGGACATCAAGGAGCCCTTTTTGCGACCTGAGATAATCGGCAAGCTGGCTGCGATGCTGGACTACAATATGGTTCAGTTATGTGGTCCCCAATGCAGCAGGTGGTTGCTTTCCCTTTTCAATTCCTTCTCAAGATAAATGTTTGTGCTTGCTTGCTCCATTTTCTACTACCATTACCATCTGAGTATTCTCTGCTTTTAAACATTGGTTCTCAAGACGTAATTTCCTCAAGCAAACTCGTAATGAATACTCATTTCGCATGTTCCTTCCAAGAGAAGTTAATTACTTTACACAAGCATAAATAAAATCTAATGCAGCAGTCTCGATCTTTGCATAGTTGGCTCTTCGTAGTTTACTAGAACTGTTGTTAGTCGAAAGTCAGTATACCACTTTGCATTATACGCATTAGCCTTGTCATTCGGCCTAATTGCTATTTTTTCTGGTAAAGAGCTTTTGCGGATTTCAGCTGTGAATTCATTAGATAGAGCGCAAAGTGGGCATTGTTTAGACCTTCTTTCACAGATTTTTTTGCCGTAAATTTCCACTTTACCGCATCTCGACTTGTCTCAGCACCGGAGCAGAGTTCATGAGGACAAAATTGGTCTTGCTGCTGAGACCTGGTAACCTAATGACGTTCACTGTGTCGGTACACAGGAATGCCGTTCACTGATCTTTTACTCTGGCTGCTGGACGCAATACGAAGCGATTCCGCAGCAAGGTGAGCCCAGAGACGGTGACTTGTGCACGAATTTGTTTATAATGATGGCAAATTTGTACAGCATCTACCTCACACTCTCCACCTGCCCCACCTGGACCCCGTGTCAAGACGAAGTCAAGAAGACTGGAGGCGGGGGAAGGCGCAGGTGAATGGCACGGTCGAGCCCGCACCTTGGCGTTCCACTCCACACCCCCTGGTCCACACAGCCAATGACCAGATTTTTGACCAACAGCAACAATGGGGGGTGGCAGGGGTCTCAGTGTGCGCGGCGGCTGCCGGCAGTCGGGCCTGCCACCGGACCCCAAGACGTCGGCATTTGTTATGGATCGCAAATCCGATAACGCCTGCCAGAATTCGATACGGCCCCTGTGCTGGTCCGGCGCGGCTACTTGCATAGCGATTAACGATCAATCATATCGGAACGGCGTAAGGTGCTGTGAGTTATGGTTAGCCTATGACGAAAGTAGGCCAGATGTGACCTATGGCACCAATGATAACTCTGTAAGAGTCGATCTGTTCGAACATTTATCGAAGATTGACATCGTGCTCGGAAAAGTCAGACACCGCAACCAATAGGTCAACCATACGAAACCAAGGCTTCTCAGAACTTTATCGATAAATTCCTCAGACTATAGACAGGCGAGTGAACCCAAACAACCTAAAAAGAGTGATAACGGCAGTTTGGGGCGCATTACGGGCCTCGGTAAATAAGCAAGTCAGGTTCTTGAAGATACACGATTACTATGCAACTAGATAGCAGTCTTGAATATTTTTGGACAGGCACTGATCAGGAGTAATCAGTGAGTTCAGGTCGCGTTAGCCGCCAGAACGGAATGATGTTCAGCAACTGTCTGGCTGTCGTCTGCCTAAGCCAGGTACGTGGTCAGACTCCGTCTTGACAATCTTCAAAGACTCCGAGGCAAGACGACGCGACCAGTAGGGTTTGAAAGTACGCCGTCGTCAGTCAGACATACTCAACCCCGAGGTGTGCATCACCTGGGGCTCGATTCCGCGACCTGTTGGTTAGAAGTCTAACGCCGTTTGTCGCTGTCCTGTCGCATGCGGGATCAAGCCCCAGGGGTTACACACTTCGGAATAGGGTATGGCTGGCTGACGACGGCTAACGGGCCAGAAACAGCCATTCCAGTTCTTGTCTTTGTCAGTAATGCAGGTAGAAAAATTTTATTCTTTAGAGAGTAGTGGATTAATAGTTGGACAAGGCTGCACGGGATGCCCTGCACCAAATTTACGGTGCGTCTTCGTTCCTGGGCAAGTCAGTGAAGTCTTCATGTCCTCCATGATCTGGAAATGGCAAAAATTGTTGCTTTAAACTTTCACCCGTGTGTGCTTTCCTTACAACTTTATATCCTACTTTCCGCAGTCATCTTAGAGTGAAAAGCGGTCTCTAGGCCTATAGCCTCGTGTTCCCCTCATGTAGGACCTCCCTTACTTAAGATGTGAGAACCTGCAAGTTTTTTCTCACCTCTCTCATTTTCCAATATGGACTGTTTTTTTACTTCGCTTTTTCCTGCCCTTCCGGAGACTGAGAAGCTAGTTGTGCTCGGGGGAAGCCTTTTCTTTGTCACAGATAATAATTGCATGCCGTAATTCTCCTTTTTGAGCATGGTTGGCCACGTCCGTCTTTTGCATAAGCGTCCTACAACATGACTCGTACAGTTCTCCTAGGCCATATTGCCTGTTACTTCTTGTATTCGCAGCCCCTTTCGCCTGTTGCATCGTTTTCTAAACCTCTCCTCTACCGCTCTTCGTAGCCTCAAAGTGCGCGATCCGGAGAGCTATGGTTGGGCGCCTAAACGTCTGCTGGCTCACATTACGGCCATATATGTGCATCTCGATACCCCCGACAACCGCTTTGCCACTTCCATTGCGGAGGACGAGCGAAGCTACTCTCCCCAACTCTTTACCAAGGCGCACAACCTGATGACCCGTCATGGAATTCAAACGCCAGACTATTTGGCCGGATTTTCCGCCCTCACTGAAAAGGTCAGACCCCGTTAGCGCCTGGCGTCGTCAGATAATATGAATAAGTGTAGACTGGCATGTAGACATACTAGGGGAACTGCCCGAAGTCTCTGGAATTTTTCCTGATTTTTGTCGTCTGACTTCTAAAGAACTCTGAACCAGGCCCTTACCCATCAGCTATGATTCACGGAGTATCTTTTTCTTTTGTTGTTATTTCCTGCATTGTCCAGCCATGTTTTCAGAATAGCTCCTTCTCGTCAGATTGGCTGTATATGGGATACCAGCCTGGCCCCTTTGATGTTCACAGCTCAAAGTTGAGACCAGACGACTAGATCATACAGTGGAGCAGCCCATTAAGGGCTAACAGAAAGTGACAAATGCTTTTATTCGAAAGACCCTTTTTTCATGCTGACTCTTGGGATTCGAGATCGCTTCTCACGGGATTCCAGAGCGTTTTCATAAACTCTTCCCCCTCCCCCGAATGGAACATTCCGTACGAAGTATCAAAGGTCCCCGGCAATGTTTGCCTATTGCAGAAGCTTGTCGGCGTGCAGCATAGACAATGCTGGAAATGCGTTCTCCGATCGAATGCCGAGACATGTTCATCCCGTTTTGCCTTGAACCTCAATCTAGTGCCCTCTCAGGCAGTCGCATAGCAACAAGTAATTAGGTAAAAGTACCAACAAAGATAAGGGCGACTGAGATGGCTATTTCTGACTTATTATCCGTCGTCCGGCCAGCCTAACCCAAACTCCGGTTTTGCCTGACCGGATCCCGAAGCCCGTGTTTTCGGTCATCGAGCGTCCTACCAATTGAGCCACGGGCTCGTCCTGCTGGTTACGATCGGGAATATGCAATAGTAGAGGGGTGCTCACCGATCCAGTCTCCCTTTTCTTTTTCGCTAATACCCTTTTGCCTATATCATGCGCCGTTGTGCGGCTGCCGGTTGGGCACGAGAGAGAGCCCTAAGGCACGATGGGACGAGCGAGTTCCGCAAAAACGATCGGTGAGCGCCCCTCTACCATTGCACATTCGCGATCTTAATCGACAGGACAATTAGGCCGTGGCTCAGTGGTTAGGGCTGTTGAACTCCTAACTAACAGGTCGCGGGATCGAGCCCCAGGTATTCCACACTTCGGGGTTGAGTATGACCGGTTGACGACGGTGAATAAGCCAGAAATGGCCATTCCATTGTCCCTTGTCTTTGCCGGTAAAACCATTTTCAATTGTTTCCGCACGCGAGGCGCTACGACCGTTGTGCGTCCGCCTGCCAAGTCTTCTGCCCCCCTTCTGAATTGCTGTCCTTTTCTACCTATGAGGACTGATCGTGTACTACATCCCTTCTAGAGTCCATCTCGTTTGACTCCTCTCTTCGCCTTATGGATTTCCCGCTTTCACGCGAAATGCCGACTCAGCTTTTGCACTCAGATGTCTCTTTCTTACTCTACCTGTCTGTAGGTCTTAGCAATGCATGAACGAAAGAATCAGATGGAGCTTGACTACGGCGATGCTCCTGCAGAATTCTATGACACGCTGATGAACACCCTTATGAGTGATCCTGTGATGCTTCCGGGTTCCCGATCTGTTGTGGACAGGAGTACCATTATAATGCATCTGCTGAACTCCGATACTGACCCCTTTAACAGGCAGCCATTAACAGAGGCAGATCTGATTCCACGTATGTCTGTAGTCTTTTCCCATTTATTGGTTATTTTTTGCCTTGGCCATTTTCAACTAAGAGGCTCGTATAGCCCACTGTCCTACGGGCATCTATTCGGCCGAAATCCAACGTCTCGTCCAAATGCCTAAATTAGGTCTGCAAAGAGTTGAATTCATGAAGAAATAACAAAACGAGGCCAGCTGGTTGGTCTTATCTTTCGTAAAAGCAGGCATGTTTGAAATGTTGCGTCAACGCGCAGACAGCTCTTTATTTACGAAGGACGGCTGACGAATTCCCGTGATGTGTTTTCTCTAGGCACGTTTAGCCCGGTGTCTGGACTCTCCCCAACCGGCCGAGATCTTATATGACAAAGCCTGATGCAGAGATCGGCCTTTAAATATGCGCAGTTTATTGCCTGGAGGTAAACTGCAACGTGACGGTTGCTGGGCTGAGCTCTCAAACCTACTTTTTCGCGTATTAAGGTCAAGTATAGGACACTTTTTGTTGCATTTAACCTAGGCGATAAATAGGGGTGTGAACTGGACCCTTACTCTTCACAAAACAAGTTCTAGCCAAGAAACTGAAATGGTTGATCGCATTACCGCCTGTTTGGCTGTGTATCAGCCTGTCGGAGTGTAAGATGACAAAACTACGCGAATCAACAAGGCGGAACAAGTATGCTTTGCTAGACTGGAAGGGCTCGTCGTATGGGGTGTAGTTCATACGTTTATAGGGCAGTTTGTTGCGTTCCGTTTCTACATTAAATTTGAAGCCACCCTTGTATGGTACTATTTTCTGTTGACCGAGTGATACATAGATCCCTATTCCCCGTCTCTGTTGGTCTGAGATGACATTGCTCCCTCCCCATCTCCCCTTTTATGGCATGTTAGGGGTTTCCTAAGACTATATTGTAAGCACTAAAACGCAGTTACAATAAAGTAGAAAGTGTGACTCGCTTAGCCAAAGTACTTTGAAGTGACGCCTATGTGTAAGACCCAACGGCACTTAAAAGCCTGTGATTACCGGATTTTCTTAGACTTTAGACCTCTGAACTGCCGTCACCGTAGGATTTTTAGTTTCCTCTCCTTATAGCACTGTTTTGTGCAAAACAATTGAAGCGGATTTACATTACCAGGATTCCATTTATGGGGAAAATCGAGTAGGCATCACCTGTTAGCAAAAAAAATTCATGTATCGGCCGTGGTTATCTTATCAGGAGCGAGCAGTTGTCACCCTAATGATTCCAACCTACTCCGGGAGATAACAAAGGCTCGTTTCCCGCATTAGCGTACGAAATAACCTACTTATATCTTTGTTCGACTTTAATTTTCAGTGCCAGAGCTAAAACAGAGGATAGCCGACTGGAAGAAATCGCGGGAACAGGAACTGCGTGGCCATCAGGCTACTGAATAACGGCAGCCGTTAACTTCTGCTCTCACTCCCCCCCCCTCTTGCCCATCCAACTGACCTGGACCACTTCCGCGAACCTGAGTTGTTGTCGACTTTGTCAGGTTGCGCAGCTTTTCGTTATGTTACAAAGTTACACCTTTTATTTAAAGTTGTCTTTCTTTTAACGGGCTTCTCTCTCGCCGTCCTTTGATTTTCCTCATTCTAGTGAACGCATAGAACCGATCCTAGTTTTTTTTACTTAAAATGCTAAGTCAGCATCTGGCGAAGTGCAGTCATTAAACGGTGCGCTAAAGGGTTCCCAATAATTGTCATTCATTTAGTTTGAAAGGGGAAATTGATGGATGGGCTTTCGTTGTTTTTTATTTGATTGTAAATGTTCAAAAACGAGTACTAGGAAATGGCCTTCCGTATCCTATCCATCTTCTAGAAGCGATCCTTTTGTGCTTTAGCGCGTCGTGGAAACTGTGGAGCATATGGTGGACATCGTCGGAAATGACGAACTGTTATCATTGGAAGCTAACTGGAAAGTGAGTAAACGAGGTTTTCATAAAAGTGCGTTCACCGATCAGCCTGCCGGGCATGCGCTCGTCCTTAGGCCCTGGGGTCTTGAACCCCAATCAAGAGCCCACGCTGGCGGTGCGACAAGCAATTATTCAGAAGTACCGACAAAGACAGTGCAGACTGGGGGTGACCAGTTCACGTGCATTAACCATCGTCAGTCAGCCCTGCCCTGCCCCAGGTCTGCAGGGCCTGGAACTTGAAGTCGGATCCTTTTGTCCGGCGCTGTCATTGGGCCACATGCTCGTCGTCTTGCAGGTTGTGTACGGGAATATTTACCATGGTTGGAGTGCGCTCACCATCGGGTCGCGGGACACGCTCCCGCCCCTGCGACCTGATGTAGAGCCTTCTCAGGTATTCGCATAGCGACAGGTAATTGGGTAGGTCCTGCAAACCCGGGACTGGATGGGACTAACCGACGACGGCTGACGGGCAAAAATGTCCATTCCGGTTTCCCTCGTTTATGTTACTACTTTTGGTTCTGCTTTCAAGGTTTTGCTGATAGATGACCATAGCACGCTTAGTGTAGTTATACTTCAGATGATCTCTCGGCGGCAATAATTGTACTCTGCTAATCATCCGCCTGTTTGTCTTGCTCTCAGCACGAAATCAGTAATCTCGTTCTGAATGCAAAATCGGATTGGTGCGGCTCCAGAAGCCAGCGCTTTTACGACCGGCATATGACGTGGTGAACTGTCTGGTGGCGACCGCGCCCCTGCTCATCTTCAGTTTATGACTCATTCTCGTCACTGGAATAGAATGAGTGTAGACGCGAAAAGAGAACGAGATCAACTCTTTATGAATACTCTTCACTGTAATCCAGCTTACTCGCAAATCTCCGCCTTCCGCGGGTAGTGATGAACATGCTGCAAGAAGACGGATGGACTGCCACTTAGCCGCTTAGTGTAACAGTTGTCCTGGTCTCATTCGTTTAGTGAGCCATTTGCGTAGAAGGACTTTTGCTCAGTAAGCCGCTGTTGATACGTAGTCGTTTGCCCAGCCGGAAACTGGCCAAATTTAATTCACTTTATCCAGTGAGTCACTTGCATAGATTGACAGCAGATGCAGCGGTTGCCGAATGCATTCTTACGGCGAAATTACACGGTCAACCGAATTATGCTGAGAGCGAAGACAGCGCAGTCATTGGGGCTGTCAGCCGCGATCTTATATCGTGGTCGTGTACTGGTCGTACATGGTTTGTCCGTAGTTGCAGCTGACGCGGTTTAAATCTCAAACGCGCTTTCAGACGATCCCTACTCAGAAAGTTGTTTTCCCAGGTACTGGCCCACCACTGTGACCGTTTATTGGTCGTCGAGTCGGCATCCCTGCTGAGACAGGCTGTAGTCCTAACATCGAACTTTGGTTCAGTTTGCGAGTGAATCTCTGACATTGGTTGTTCATGCAGTAGCTCGATCCGGCTGTCTCGGAGTTCTTTCACTGACACGAGCACTATATGCCCACATTGATTCGACCCAAATGAACAAACAGCCATCACCCACTGAGCTCGCAGAACCCCTCTCTAATAAGTTCTTTAACACATTTCAGCAGGGTTCAGGGGGGGGTGCTTATCCATTGTCACTGGAGTCAATGAGTCTTGCTGCCTGTTGGTGTTCGTTAGCGTATTTGGACTCAGAGGTAGTGCTGACTCAAGGTAACATTCTCGAAGTGGGCGATCGGCGTGTGTTTTGGATTTCCGGTCTGCATTGGGTAAGTAGACATGTTAACCTGTGCATATCTTTTACCGTCTCACTACTGTTGCGTTCCACGCTTCCTTGTGACATTAATCGGCGTTCAAGTACTGCCGAGGACAGTTTTTCATATGATCTCGGGCGCTTTTTTCCAAGATTTACTTGCTATTCCCTAGAGCTGCTTTTTGTCCTTTAGAAGCGCAAACATAATTTATACAAATCCTTTTGCTGTATAGTTAACCTATCTCAGCCATTGCGATTTTACTCTCTGCCCAGTAGGGAACGATTCCACCCAAACCCACACGGGGCTGACTTCGAGGTTCGAGTTATCCCATGAGTCGACAGCGCACCAAGTCACGGATTTTGGCACATTGTGATAGATTCAAGTGCGTCAGATTGCTTATAATGAGGAATGTGTGCTGAGTACGTTGACCGCACTCTCTCTCTCTCTCTCTCTCTCTCTTCCCACTTTCAGACACCAGTTGTCCATCCGAACCGGTCAGCTGTGTGATGTGGGACGTGGACACAGCGGTTGACAGAGTTAGAGAAGGCGTCTGCGCGCGTCAAATGCACGACCTGGTCCCTCACACAGCACACCATGATTTCACACAGGGAGTAGACCGCTCGAATTGCACATGCATTGAAGAAGCTACACGAGTAATGGGACCGAATAGCCAGATTTCCCATTTACGTGAGATGTGCCGGTAATGTGGGATGTTAAGGAAGAAAATTGTGATGCATGCGTTGATTGGGAAGTGTGTGGTGATGTGGACTAGTCTGCGGCGATTAATAGCAGCTTTTCGTGAAGGCGCATTTGACCGATTTAAGTCATGCGATTGCTAAATATGCGAGTGCAATGCGGGCAATTTAGGGGATGGTGGTGGGCGTATGATGGTGCTCCAGACATTGGTTTTTTAGTCTCTATGCAATGGATTTGCAAGTAAAACATCGGCCTGACATGTGCCGTGTATGTTCAGTGGCAGTGTAGCAGGATGGGTTGGGGAATGCTGAGTCGGTTTTGGTTATGCTAACAGTTGTGGCCACATCCGCGGATGGGGAGTTGATAGGGTTTGGGCTGGGGGAGGTGTTGGTGGACAATGTATTCGTGGTGCTTCGACATTCCGACAAATTCCATTGTCGTGTATACGCACGTCACCAAATAAGTCCACGCGGTTATTGAATATAAGTGGACAATACGCACAGTGAAGATGGATGCGGCCGGTGTACTTGGGGCTTCCGGCACTGGTTCGCCCGCCCCAGTGCGATGGATTCGCAAATGACCGATCATAACGATGCGTGAGATTAATGTGGAACAGTTATTTGGACAGGTTGCAACTGGGTCCACATTGCTGGTTGTGGAGGCGGTGGTAGTGAGAGTAGTAGTTGACTAGGCGTCAGGAGTGTTCTCGCCAGTAGCGGGAGTAAGAGTGGTGGTTTTCATCGCCATCGTCGCGGGGTTGTAGCAAAGATGATGGAGATGGCGATGACCGACGATGGCGGGGCACCACGAATGTGATCTTCGGTAACAAGGAGGTTGCCGTGGGGTTTGTGCAATGCGTGATTATGGGGGCGGCCGTGGAGGCAGTAGTTAGAGATGTCGTCTTTTGGTACATTGGTTACGGGGATGTCCAAAGCGACCAGTCTGCGCACGGAAAGTCCGTGGACAGCATGCACATTTTGGAAGAAATGGGGGAACCTCGGATATCAGTGGGTGGGATTGTCATAGAGCTCACATTAAAGAACCATTACAGCCTGACTCTCAGTCCGCCAGTCGTCCATTCGACCCACATGCATACTGGACGGCTTCTAGGTCTAAGTTATCTCAGCTGGAAGAATACCAACTATGCAGCAGTCAGTAATGGTACTATATCTGAGTCATGCAAGCAGGAAATGACCAATGAGCGCTTCTCTCCCATTAAAACCGGTCATGATCCACTTTCCAGAGACGAATCAGAATACGTGTCAAATCTCTATACAAAATTACGGTACTAGTCGGGGACATGACCCTTCTTTGTGAGATTTAATGCATCACGGGGGGGGGAGAACCTGATGAATCTAAGTACTTCTGAAAATATCCAGAATCGAGGCAGATATCTTTATGTCTATTCAGTCGAAACGGCAATATCATAGACAAAGTCTTAGATGGATAACTAAGAGCAAGAGAAGCTTGTCAAAGTTCTTAGGGACCAATACGACTCGGGACTGGCGGACCATCTTAACCGTTTCGACGCGGCCGTCATCGCTTATAAAACTGTTCTTAATTATTCATATTTCTTTATTGGTCATGTCGGTTAAGTCTTTGGAGAGGACGATTTTTAAGTCTCCCTCAAGTATCATGAGACTCTGAGCAGTCATATCAGCGACTCTGAGCAAAACGCCGCAGAAAACATTTTAAGAGTATTTCCACGGACTTTTACTCCCCCCGCCTCCTTGAACAAGATTGGCTCACTCTCATAAGAAGACTATCCAAAATTGGATCGGCCATCAAAAGACCACTCTAACAATTATTCACAGGCACCGACCAGTAATCGTCGCCTGCAGATATTATCTGGCGACGACAATTGTTAGTTCCTTGCCGCATAAATAAGTAAAAAATTTGCAAATGAATAGCTAGTAAAAATAAGAGATGCCAACCTTGATTGCTGAGACAGGACGAACAATAACAACCTACAAGGACAACAGATTAGGTCATTCACAACCTTTCACTTAAATTATGCCGTCGAAAAAGGTCCGATCCCACAACCAAATGAACTACCA